TTTATGATCTATCTCATTTCATATTGCAGTTAGACTCACTAATACTTTGGATTCTTTACAGGGGAAATTGATCGAAATTCATTTTAGTGAAACAGGAAAAATATGTGGCGCTAAAATACAAACCCGTAAGCACACTCACTTATTTTGATATGTTGACACGAAATCTCTGTAAATCATTCTTTCAATCATTGTACTGATGTTTACTTTTCTTTGCATAACAAACATATTGATGCCCGAAAAAATGATCAGTTCTTCTTGAAGAGGTGCACATGTTTTTTTCCTCTATTTTCACCTTTTCTTTTTCCACTTAAATTTGTATGCATTGGGCTTTTTGAAAACTTCTTGTCTAATTTGCAGTCAAGAGTGAATCAGCTTGCCCAGGGAGAAAGATCATACCATATCTTTTACCAGCTTTGTGCTGGGGCTCCAGCAGGTCTCAGAGGTACATATTCAACTTTGAAACTTCTTTGTGCTCTTTTAAAGTACTTACGATAACCTTGATGTGATTTCTTTGCAGCTAAACTGAAGTTAAAACGGGCATCTGAATACAATTATCTAAATCAAACTGAGTGTTTGATGAACGATGTTGATGATGCCGAAAAGTTCCATATGCTCATGGTGATCTAGATTCTCGAGTTTTAGATATATATATATGTCATTTAAAACATTTTTTTAGCCACTTTGGTTTAGTGCATAAATAATTGGTTTATACATTCTGTTTTGTCATCAGGACGCCCTAAACACGGTCAACATTTGCAAAAAAGATCAAGAACATGCCTTTGAAATGCTTGCTGCTGTGTTATGGCTAGGAAACATATCATTTGAAGTGATTGACGATGAAAGCCACGTTGAAGCTGTGGCCGATGAAGGTAAACCTATAGCATTAACTTTTTCTTCTTTGTGTCTAAAGATTTGCCATTCTATATTAAGAATTGATTTACATATTCTGAAATTGACGTGTATGTTTTTATATGTTTTTATATGTTACCTACAGCTCTTACAAATGCAGCTAGCTTGATAGGTTGCAGTGCTCATGACCTCATGCTAGCTTTATCAACTCATAGAGTACACGTTGGCAAGGATAAGGTTACCAAGTTGTTAACAATGCAGCAGGTATTTTAAGCGCTTATACGTGTAATCTTACGAATTCTATACCTTAAGATAGTTGCACCGTCAAATTATATGACATGGATGTAACTGCTGTTGGATCTCAGCGCTGCACTATGCTTACTTCCTAGTGGGCTACAAAGTTCTTTGGCTATCTGGTTGCCATATCCTACTTAAAACCAATTGGTGATAAGTAGGTGAACATTAACCATTTAACCATTTAACCGCATCACTCTATAGTAAGCTACAACGCCACGTCTCGAATCGAGCAGGGGCTGAACTCGGTCAACCTGGCCGACGCCCAACAACTGCATTTACTCCCAGATAGATATGATTTTGTAACAAATATATTGAGCTATTGTGACAGTAACAGCATTCACGTTGACTTAATTCAGGCAACTGATACAAGAAATGCACTGGCAAAGTTCATATATGGAAGCTTGTTCAACTGGCTTGTTGATGAGATTAATAAATCACTTGCAATGGAAAAACAAGATACTGGTAGATCCATAAGTATTCTGGATATTTATGGTTTTGAAGCATTTAAGGTAGATTGATCTCTTGAAGTGTATTTTCATTATTGATGTTTTTTCAATGTTTCTTCTGTGTTACTACCATTTCCTTTCATTTTCTCCAGAATAATAGCTTTGAGCAATTCTGCATAAACTATGGAAATGAAAGGCTTCAACAGCATTTTAATCGTCATCTATTCAAACTTGAGCAAGAGGTAACCATGTCAAAAGAGTTTCCTCGTTGCTCTACAAACCCATCCAACCCAACCCCCCCCCCCCCCCCCCCCCTCAACCCCCAAAAGAAAAAAATCAATACAGTGCTAGTTATGACTTATGACCTGACTTGTCTGATTCAGGAATATGAGTCGGATGGAATTGATTGGATAAAAGTAGAATTTGAAGACAACCAAGAGTGTTTGGATCTCTTCGAAAAGGTACTTTCTTCTATTTTATTTTCTACCCCATTCATCGAAACTTGTGATATGTGCAGAAGTGGACATGATTTATCGGTTATTGTAATGCGCCTTGCAGAAACCAACTGGGCTTATTTCTTTACTGGACGAAGAGTCAAACTTCCCTGAAGCTACTGATTTAACCTTTGCCAGTAAGCTCAAACATCATTTGACAGCAAACCGGTGCTTTAAAGGAGAAAGTGGAGGAGCATTTAGTATTCAGCATTATGCTCGAGAGGTTAGATTTTCTTATTGCAGTAGATTAGGATGCACTTGTTATAGATAAATGGTTTTATAGATAAATGGTTTTCTTTTGTCAATGATTCTATTAGGTTCTGTATAGCACCAGTGGTTTCTTGGAAAAGAACCGGGATAAAACGTTGCCCGCTGATATTGTTCAGCTACTCTCGTCATCCGGTTCTGAACTACCTCGGTTTTTTGCATCTTTGGTTAACCAATCTCAGAGGCGAAGTGTTGCTACGAAGTTTAAGGTAGTGATATCTGCTTCGTTGTCTTTAATGCTGCATAGCTCGATATTCTGTCGAGTATTGACTGTTGAGCATATAACTATTAATGTGCAATCCAACTATCAGCTTAGGCTTTTAGTTGAGATGGAGCACATGCTTCAATTTGGTATCAGAGCCATAGACCCTCTTAGACTCTCCAACTCTCTGTGCAGGGTCAGTTGTTCGATTTAATGCAACAGCTAGAAAACACTACACCACGCTTCATCTGCTGCATAAAGCCAAACGATAAGCAGCTTCCTGGGGTGTTCGAGAAAAATCTTGTCTTAAAGCAGCTTAGAACCTGTGGGGTTTTAGACGTGGTGAAAATGTCGAGATGCGGGTATCCTACTCGGATGACACATCTTGATTTCACGAGAAGGTAAGTGACCTTTTTTTCTTTTTTTTCGGTTGCTGACTTTGATTGGTTAGTAAGTCTTGAAAATTGAAATATGCATGTGCTATATATGTGTTTCAGATATAGCCTCCTCGTCGATAATACTGTTCCCCGAGATCCTTTAAGTACATCTGTTGCTATTCTCCAGCAATTCAATATCCTTCCTGAGATGTACCGGGTTGGGTATACCAAATTGTATTTCCGAGCTGGACAGGTGAGATGCTGGACTACTGGGCAAATAAAAGGGCGGTCCATTCTTTATTAGTATCCCCCTTGCCCCCATATCGGTTATATCTGATCCCCGTAACTTTCAGATTGATGCACTCGAAGATGCAAGGAAACAAGTCCTGCAGGGCGGTCTTGAGGTGCAGAAGTGTATTCCTCGCCACCGTGCTTGCCATCACTTCCATGAGCTCAATGGAGGAGTAATAACGCTTCAATCTTGTAAGCTAGACTGCTTTTAGAGTTTTAGTTGCCACTACGAGTATTTAGGATTGTTAAGAGTCTCATATTGATAAAATAAGAGAAGATATATGGGTTTATAAGGTCATGGGTTAGACTAACTAATTGGTTGGATTCAATCTTTTAGTGTGGTTTGGCTCATGTGCCCCTAGCCCACCGGTTATGGGTATTGGTGGTGTCCAAGCTTTCGTGCTGGTTTTTAAAGATTTAATGTAAATGGTCGTTATTGTAGTTGTTCGTGGTGAAAACGCAAGAAGGCAATTTAATACATCAAAAGAACAGCTCGCTTCCAACAAAATTGATGAGCAGTTGGTGGCTGTTATAAGGATACAATCAGGTAAAGTCTTAGTTCTTTCAACATTTCTGCAATATGGAATATAGGATCGATGATTCATTTGTGTTCTCCTACAGCAATTCGTGGGTGCTTGGCACGAAAGCATGTTAGTAGCCTGCGGAATTTGAAGAAGGTAATTCTCGACAAATGCAAAGCGGGCGGGAAGATGTTGGAGGTGAAGGTACACTTTATAACAAAGAAATACTCGAGAATTGCTTCTCTGATCATCATCCTATGATTTGTATTATCCCATTCGAGTATTGATGTTTTCGTGGTATATTTCTGACGTTTTTACCAGGACTTGCCTTCAGAAGTTTTACCCTTTGTTATCGAAGAACTTCAAAAGCATCTTTTCACGTCTAAAACAACCCTGGGACTGAAGGAAAAAGAAAACGCTGCATTAAAAGAACAAGCCAAACAGCTCGAGGCACATTGGTCAGAATACGAAGCCAAGATGAGGACGATGGAGGAAACATGGGAGAAACAAATTGCATCTTTGCAGGTGAGCTCTTGTGTCCGTTGGATTATCATAGTAGAACATTACAAAACGATGGAACATTTTTTAAGATTATGATTTCCATGTTAAACCGGGGCCTTCCGCCTACGAACAGGCAAGTCTTGCTGCAGCCAAGAAGAGTCTTGCAGCTGACAACGTTGTGGGCCTTCCGCCTCGTTGCTTTTATGATTCTGAAGGTGCTGTGGGATCTAGTCAAGAGATCGATGGTGGTCTTAGTGCAATCGATCGTCTTGTAAAGGAGTTTGAACAAAGGAAACATAATTTCGATGACAAAGCCACCGCGATTCTTCAGGTCAGCTCGGGACAGTTACTCTCTACGAACCCTGAAGACGAACTAAGAAGATTGAAACTCCAGTTTGAGCAATGGAAGAAGGAATACAAGGTGAGATTAAGGGCTGCAAAGGTAAAAGTACACAAGCTGGGGCATTCAGAAGCAGAAAGAAGCCGAAGAACATGGTGGGGGGGAAAGACGAGCAAACGGTTTCAGACTTAAACCTCTTCTTCTTCTCTCTTTCAGTCTTTCTAGGCATGAAACATGCTAGTTAAGATAGGTTTGCCCCGGAGAACCCGGGGGGGGGGGGGGGGGGGTGCGTTTGTATATTTACCAGCTTTCGAGAGGATTTTTCACCTGAAACCCCTCAGAGTTCTTGAGGTGAGCCTGGTTAGTTAGTATGTTGCCAATCATTGTATAGTACTAAGAAACTGGAAAGCAGATGTTCAGTCCAAACTCTGATAAATTATATATAATCTACAGAAAATTTTCGTTTTTTTTTTCAATCATACATTGGGGTTTGGATGAACAAGAGATGAATGCAGGGAAATTTATGATCCAGGGACAAACTTGGTGGCATAAACCCAGGCATTGTTAGCAACAGGGTTGTCAAGGTGGTCCAAGAGGTTCTCGAGAGGGCCTTTGCCAGTAACAATGGCTTGGACAAAGAATCCAAACATGGAGAACATGGCTAGTCTGCCATTCTTGATTTCCTTGACCTTGAGCTCAGCAAAGGTGACGGGGTCGTCGGCTAGGCCGAGAGGATCAAAGTATTGGCCACCAGGGTAGAGGTCATTGCCCTCTCCAACTCCAGGGAGGCCATTGATTCTGAACCCTTCAACAAGCCCCATGAGAACAACTTGGAACCCCAGCACTGCCAAGATGCTCTGTGCATGGACAAGGTTTGGGTTGCCCAAGTAGTCCAGCCCTCCTTCTGAGAAGATCTGGGCTCCTGCTTTGAACCACACTGGCTCCTTGAAGTCCACATTCAACCATTTTTCAAGAACTTCTGGGGTTATGCATCCCAGTGCTCCAAGCATTGCCCACCTTCCATGGATCACCTGCCAATTTTCAAACCATTTTAGTAAACTTCACCTTATAGACCTAGCCAGCAAAGGGGTAAACCATTCTAGATTGTCCATAGCTGATCGGCTGAGACCATAATGAAGTAAACCGGCCTAGTTTACCTGACTAACTCAAACCAATAAGGTCAATAAGCCACTCCCATCAGGAGTTGAACTTGAAACCTTGTGATTATCAAGTCAACAGCCTAACCTACTTGAGTGGGATACCTCATAATCAATATTTTTTACATATCACATTCTATATCCCACCTACCATTAGACCTATAGAGTTAGATTTTGGTTGAGTCGGGTGTCCAAAGTTTGACTCTTACTCGAGAAAAACATGACCAAAAGTCTTTCACATGATATGATATATATACAAGAGTTAGATCTTTGGACCTCATAAAATATACATAAAAACTAATTTAAAGTACCTCAAGAGCCCTGTTTTTGGCGAAAGCCTCAGGATCAGCAGACAAACCAGCAGTGTCCCATCCATAATCACCAGGGAACTCTCCAGTCAAGTATGAAGGAGTTTGAGCAGAAAAGGGTCCCAAGTACTTAACACGGTCAGGCCCATACCACAAATCATTTCCCTATGAAGATGAAAACCAAGAAATTAAGCAACCAAATAAAATAAAATTTATCTTACTATCTTAGTATAACAGAAGTGTGAGGAGAAATCACCATGGTAAATTTAGCAGGTCCCATGGGAACAGCATCTCTAAGAGGATTAGCATTCTTGGTCTGACCCAAGAATGGGGTGGCTCTCACAACAGTGGTGGAGCTAGCAGCAGCTGCCATGGATGCCATTCTTGGTTTCTCTCTCTCAAGCTTAGAGTTGGGACTAGTTTTCTGTTAAATAACTGCTGGAGCAATCTAGAAGGTGATGAGGAACTGGTTTTATTATGTGTGGGGAGAGAGAGAGAGAGAATCAAAGATGGGTGGTCACGATTGCATGGATAGAATTTGTGGTTGATGATAAACTCAAGTCATAGACTGACCAATCACAGGGCTCCTAAAGATTTTTAAGTATCTCCAAGTGGTATCCTTCTATCCAGATCATTATCTTTCTTGATTCTTAGGAGCCTGCTAAAATTATTGGAATATATACCTTTGTATCCTTGAGAACCATACATTGTACAATGATTTCCAGTCATTTGTTCCATGAACCCCTTCTTGATCATTCATTTTAATTATTCAGAATGCTTTTTCTAACTACCATCAATGGGCATAAACTCAATTATCGGGTAAATCTGCATGAACAAATGATAGTAACCTCAACAACAGATATGTCTGAACTCTGAAGCTACACATTAGAAGTGGAACAAATATAATACATCAATGATTTGAAAAATTTTAGAGATTTCTAAGCATAAACCCATGGTCAGATTAACAACATTGTTTTATGTTTCAAGAGACATATATAGAAAGGATTCATCTTTGGTTTTGGTATGGCTAACTAAAGCCTTATCTATTGACAATGGTCAATGGATATTGCATTGTTGCAAGAGAGGATGAGAATAATCTATGTATTTGTTCCACAATGGTTTGTACTTCTCCATTCCAATCTTCAGCCATGGCTTGGAGTTTCCATTGAAATGTAGAACTGCACCTTTCTCGATCACCTGTGGATCGACGTTTGTGTATCCCAATCCCAAAACATGCCAACTACGATCCAACGGTTCAGTCAACCCGTAGAAGGTAAGAAGCCCGGGTGGCAAGGTCCCGAGCTTCCATAGTGTTCGATCTACGTTCTTCTCCTGCCAGTAGTGATATATACCAGTCACATTCTTCCTCCTCCATTGAACCAAATCAAAGATATTCATGCCAAAGGCCCACCCACAAGCATCTGGATCGAAATGTGAGCGTATAAGTGGGTGGGAGGAGTTCAAGTATTTGTGGTATCTGTGGAATGTCTCCGTGCAAGTCTCGATGGCTCCATTCACGTTTCCTTTCAAATCAATGGAGAACAATGGCGATAGATCCTTTTGAACCACAACATCATCGTCGAGAAATACTACCTTATCAAGCTTTGGGAAAACTTCGGGAATATAGAACCTAAGGTGGTTGAGCATCGAGAGGTACTTTGGGTTACGGTATTTTATAGGGGTTTTACCACCATCCTGACGTCCAGAGAAGTAGTAATTTTGGGTGTCGGAGTCTTGCAGCTGCTTAAGAACAGGGACGTAAGAAGCATTCAGCCAACTGAAGTCTTCAAACTTCTGAACTTCTATTGAAACACCCCGGAAAGAATTCATAGAGAACCAGGCTTTCATTGGAGCGAAGTTTATTTCATCAGTCACGATGTGGAAGACAATCCGGTCTGGATTCCTGGCATTTAACGCTGTTGAATTGACCACGACTGAAGTAGCTAGGATGTTGTCAGAAAAAACACAAAAATGATAAAGGCTATTATCCTCGAGTTTCTTGGCTTCCCTGAGCTGTTTCTCCTGCAGCTTTTTGTTCTGGAACCAATCAACAGTTAACCTAACACCCAGGCAGTATAGACCCTTTGGCACTTCCTCGGCTGCTATTTGTCCATACTTTGAGCTCTTCTCTGTCACGGAATTCAATTGCTCTCCAAGTGATTGGATATTGGCCTTTAATCTCATAATCATGGTTGCACTATCATAGTGGAGTTGCTGGGCTTGACAAAGCAGAAGTGCCATTTCACGGATTCTTGATTCTGCCTCTTTCATCGTTAATGGGGTTTTCCTCGTCGCTGAATTTGATAGGAGTACTTGTGATTTGTGAATCTTGGCACTTATTTCCCATGCAAGTTGAAGGTTGTTGCTCTCTTTTGCAATCAGAACAAAGGATTTAGCAAGAGATATTTGATCATTCACTTGCCTAGATATTGAATGAGGGTCCAACATTTCTTCGGTGATGTTAAAACCTTCCAGAAATTTGTTCCGTCTATTAAATCCCTGAACATTTACATAAAATTATTAGTGTTCTATGTACTTAAAGTTTCTATTCAGGAAGTGAAAACGAACAAGAGTTCTCTGGAACTTACATCCATATCATATCTTCAAAGTAAACTAACTTACAATTTTGCCTATTTAATTCCTTTACATGCATATATAGTCAGATCAGAAATCAACAGAACAGTCATTTCAAGAGGCAAAGAATAAAGAACTACAAATGGGTTATGGCTAGATTTTTTCAATAGGTATAGAAAGGTTCCTATGAAACTTTCTGCAATTCAATTGACTTAAAACATTCTCCTTAACATCGAAATTGAACACTCACTCGTGTTTCTTTAGCAACATGCACCCCTTGGAGACGGTATATACCACACTTCTACCAAATAGCATAAACTTATCCATTTCCCCAACTTTCCTCCCGGCACATTCTCATACAATACAGTTGAAGTCTCGAAAGAAACAAAGTTAAAAAGTCTAAAGCAACAAACATAACAAAAACATAAGTGAATGGCAAGAAACTGCAGCAGGGAACACATAAAATTGCAACGGACGAGACAATGCAAGGACCTAGCCTTAAATTTAAGAGGACATTACTTAAATTTCTTAAATTTAAGCTTCATTTAAATCCGAGATACACCAATGGATTGGATTGTTATTCAGAGGTTCAAACTTCATTTTCTAAACCACTAAGCATTTTCTAAAGCAACCCCAAGAAATCTCTTCATCCCCAAATCCCATAAAACTAAACTCCAATTTTTTTTTACTACTGGTACCCAAAACAGAAATATAAGAAATGCCTGCCAACTCTCCTGCACAAAAACACAGTGATTGACCAGCAAAGTCCTCTTCTTTTCTTATAATCTGCTACACTAACATGCCACTAAGAAACAAACCATCCAAATCTGAACAAATTGACTATAAATTATTGAACACAGCTATACAGCACAGTCTAGAAATAGAACCAGTGAGTTACACACTTACACAATTGGTCTGCAAAAAAAAAAAAAAAAAAAAAAATCTAATCTTTTACACCAAAAGAAAACACCATTTACACCATCAACAAAGAAACTGGAAGAAAGCGCTAATCTTTTGGGATATAATGAGACAAAACGCTGGTGGGTAAGGCAGGTTTTACCTGGATTAAAGAAGGCGTGGAGGGAGAAGAGCTTTTCTGGCGGATGATGGCGAATAAGAGAAGCGCTAAGAAGGCGCAGAATATCAGCCATCCCAGTTTGGAGTACCGTCTCTTTGCGGGTCTGCTTCGAAAATCGAACGACCTTCGCCTCATTGAAAATCTCCCCTTCCTATTTTTGCATCAAACCAACAAAAACCTCCCCAGAAAGCTTCACTGTGTGGGTTCCTGAGTGAAGGAGTCGAAATTTAGCTGTGGGTGCTCCGGAGAGAGTTCACAAACTGTTATCAGATCACTATCACCGCCCAATCGGCCATGTTACTTTATTTACCATTTAGTTTTGTTTTTTGTCGGCCAGCATTTTTAAGAACGAGTTCAGAGAAAAGTTTCCAGCAAATAACAAATTTCCTATTTTCTGAAAGAATATTTTTATAATTATGACAATACATTTTAAAGAATTTGGTATTATATCTATAGATAATTAATAATGTACATATACACATTATATTAGATAGGATTGATCGAGGTGAATAAAAAGGGACTTTATAGTAAATTTTGTCGTTATTTACAAGTTATAATTGGGATAATAGTATGATGTATCGAGACACATATTGAATGAGCAAAATAAAACGACTAATTTTTTCACAAAAGCTTCCATCATATATAATTGAAGTTATAGGGTTTTCAATACTCCTCCATGGCTCTATTACTTCTCGAAATACAAGATTTTATAGGCATTGTCCGTCTTAAAAAAGATTTTTACACTGTTTAATTTTTTTAAATGTTCTCAAATAATTCAAAAAAAAAAAAAAGAAATATTGAATTAGTAACAAATGAAACTTACAATGAAATAGTGATATGCATTTTAATTTTTCACTAAGTTATTATCAAGAATACAATATAATTCAATTATTAATTAAAGATTAAAATTTTAAAACATCACTATAACGGAAAATTAAATCCAGATTTTTTTTTTTTGAATTTCATCAAGAAAAAAATGAGAGAGAAATAAATGGGTGACTGTTGGAGGGCTTCTAGCCATCGTATATTATAGTTTATGATGATGAAAGCCGAAAGGTACTATTTGCCTTCTGGTAGTAGAAATGTTGTTTGCTGATGATGCCTGTTTGAAACTCGAAAGCTCTCCTACTCTTTCATGGCGACAACAAATAGCTAAAGGCTAAAACATTCTCGCTTAAGGTCAAGATTCCCTCGTACCCTTTTCCGGAAAGATTCAAATTTGCCGAGTGTCCCGCCGTCTGAGAACGAGAATGGTTATCAGAAAGCCGAATCCCCGTATTCCTTCTGCCAAGGGCAATGGAAGAAAAGCGAAGAGTGATGGGATTGAACTGTTCGTCAAGAATGGGTCTGAACCAGTCGACCATTGGGAGTTTCTGGTAATTCGCGTTTCCCTACTCTCTGATTTTCACTCTTCGTTCTTGAAATTTTTGTGATAATGTGCTGTTAATTGCGGATTCTTTGTGTTTTTGGGTTTTTATGCTGATATTGGTTTCTTAAGAAAAAGGTTGTTTTCAATATTGAAGTGTTTATGCATTGATGGTAATTGTTGACAGTAATGTGAAATTTGAAATTGGGGGTTTGGGTTTATGTTCAAATGTGGATTATTATATTGGAATGGGAATTTTTGCTAGATATATTTTTGATCCTCAGATTCAATTGGTATTCTCTTGAGGTTATATTTAAGAGTTTTAGATTTGAAAATGCATACTTGTATTCAAAGTTCAGTCTCAACTCTCCCCCTCAGAGTGTCCACGGGGGGCAGGGTGTTTTTTCGGTTTCTTAGGGATTTGATTTGATCATTTATGCATTGCAGGATGAGATTGATGCTCCCATGTGGGTGGATCTCAGTGTTGAATGTAAGTCTATGTATGCTGACAAGTAAGTATAGAATTATAGATACAGTTTGTGGTTAATGTTAAAGGTTCTTGCTGATATGAGAGCCTATAATCAAGACTAGCTCGTTTATGGCGTTGTGTTTGTGTTGCAGGGATGATGAATGGTTCCACACGAGCCATCTGTAAGCGTCTTGTCGTTTTGTTTAGACATGGTCTTTTGGGGTACTGGATGTAGAATCGTCGCTAAATTGACTAAACTTTCAGGTTTCATCAATCTTCTTCGAAAGAATTGAAAGCTGCTTTTTCTCGCATTGGGGAGATCTGTGCAGAAATGGAGTTTGGCGGGCATGAACAATCTTCCCCAAAGCTTCCACCCTCGGTGGGAAGATCGAGAGGTAAAGATTACAGAAGCCGGGAGTGGGGAAAAGGAAACCGCAAGATTAGCATGGGTAAGAAGCATCCGGTTAAGAACTTGAGCAGTAAATCTTCACGGGTGAACTCGGGGTTTACTAAAGCTGTGAAAGATCGAACAAGCCACATAAATGTAAAACACCATGGGGCTTCGAAATCTATTTCTGTTGGCCAGAGCAGTTTAAGTACCATTACATCTGAGGTTAGTGATCAATGGTGTCAGAAGTCCTCGGTGACGAGTAATTCAAGCAGCATCGTGACTTATGAGGATGTCGAACAACAAAATCAGAACTCTCGGGAGATAAGAAATTCAACATGCACCGTAACATCTAGACTTACGGAACTGCAACCTCGAAAGTGCACAAACATAAACAGTCAAGTATTTGGACGAACTAGTGATTTATTGTCGACTCTAAGGGTTAATGTTAGAAAGAGTTGTGTTACTAGACAGGCATTAAGACTGGTGGTTAATAGTCCGAGGCAATCTGAAGGTCGAAAATCTGCTTCGAGCAAATCAAGCATGGAGTCTTCAAATACTCACGAGGATAGAAGCCAAACTAAAGGCACAACTCCAGATAGTAGAAATGTCTTCAGAATGAATGACCCCCCAAAAGAAAAGACGAAGCTACCACGAATGTACAAGGCATGTTTTCTTCGAGCTCAGCATGCAAATTCTTGTGAAACAAATAAACCAATCGTAAAAAGCTTTTACAAACTTTAATGGGACTTGTTTTGAACAACTAAAACTTTTTTCTTTTACTGTGAAAGTACGTATCGAGTTCTGAGAATACATCTTGAGTTGTTTTGGCATTTGTTAAATGACTGAATGTCTTTCTTGGATTTGTTTCTCTATTTCATTTTTGCTTCAGAGGATATAGATCTTTTTCATATGATGATAGTGATTGATTTTCTGAATTTGTATGTGGGTTTGCAGGGTCATCATCGTACTAATACAACACAACAAAAAGCTTTTGTTCCCAATCGAGGCAACGTAAATGTGCCCTCAAATGAGGTTAGGAAGGCTAAAGAGAGCACGGGAACCAAAACCAAAAGAACTATGGCCACTGGTAAAGAGAATGCACCGAGGATAGTGGGTCTGAAATCAAGCTCTCTCGAGAGGGCAGCTACAGTCAATGTGCAGGTTCCTAAAGTTTCAAAGGAAAGGATCCCGGGAACAACATTGACTGGTGTAAAGGTAATCTTCTTGCTGTTTGATTCATGATCCCGCACTTCTCTATACTTCTCTGGATAATTTTCAGATCTCCGAACAATTCTTTCTTATTATGCATAACTTGTATTAGTTGTGTACCCTTGGAATGATATTGAAAGCAATATCGGGTAAAAGATTATATTTTTCCACTATACTTCTCGTGCAGGTAAGGGTAGATAACAGAAGGGAAGTGGAGAATCCCCGAAAGGATGGGCGAGCAGGTTTTCCTAAGATGAGAAAGAACGAAGATAAATGAACGATGAGATTTGTAGATGTCTAGATGTCAAAAAACTCGGGTTTTTGTTTTACCAAACCCTTAACCTGCCTTGCAATAGCCACACCCTTATCTTCTACATTGGAGCCAGTTGTTCATCATTTGTCTCTCTTGTCAATATTGTGTTAGGATGAGCTAACATTTTGTCATAGAACAACCTTAACTACTTTGTCATGGAAATATATTGTTGCTCAAATTTCCAGAATACCTGAGAGCACACCCCAAAAGCCAGAAAAAAAGGGGTCAGTTTGGAACTTTGGGGGTATTTGCCTTTTCTGTTTCATAATCTTTAGTTCTTTGGCATCTTTTAACTAACTTTGGGCTCAACCCAAATTATGTTGTGGACTATGATTAACCTTGCATTGTGGGATCGGATAAATGATTACGTGTTTATAGTTAATATATTATGTACTGTAAGTAAATTAAAGGAAATGATCGGTTTGAGTATCTATGAAAGAAAAGATCGATTTTTTGCCACGTCAAAAGCTTGGGGTTGTGTATGCACAAATTATGTATTTATTATAATTAATATTAATATATTATGTATTGTAAGTAAAGGAAATGATCGATTTGAGTATCTATGAAGGAAAAGATGGATTTTTTGCCACTGCATAGGCTTGGGGTTGTGTGTGCACAATTATGTATTTATTATAGTTAATATATTATGAACTGTAAGTAAAGAAAATGATCGATTTGAGTATATGTGAAGGAAAAAGATGGATTTTTTGCCACGTCATAGGCTTGGGGTTGTATATGCACACATCTTTTTTTTGTTTGAAAGGATGTATGCACACATCTTCTTAATTGGCTAGCAAACAAGTAGAGGAAATTGCGTGGAAACTGTGTTTTATTGAACTTATTCAATAATGAGATATCTCGTCCCTTCTCCTCCCTGATTCAATCATACCAATCCACATTTCTTGTCTTCCTCTTAGCCCTTCTTCCTTCACCTCCCATTTTTGCTTCCATTATTCTCCCCTAGCTTTGATTTTTTCATCGTAATCGTGTTAAAATTACAATGTGTTACAATTAATTTCCAAAAAAGCCCCTAGCCGCTATTAAAGGTGCACTCTAGGTGAAACACCTTGACTTTAGCTGGTAAATGATACAGAGTAATAGGAAGTAGGACCTATAGTTGATTAGTTTAAATTATATTATAGGACCTATAGTTGATTAGTTTAAATTATATTATAGGCCACTTTTACTGTTCCACAAGTATGTAGTGAAACAGGGTACGATCAAATGAATGCACGAAAATTACTTCATGTTCTTATACGAAGTGCACAATCAAACATTATAAATTACAGAAATGCTTGTTTTAAATTACAAAAATGCCTGTTTTTAGGATATATATACAATCACTTATTTGCAAACGCACAATCAGACATTACAAGTGGCACAAAAATAGTTCACACATTCCATGTGATTCTCATTTGTTGACTGATCTTTTCACCAAATTTTATATGCCTTTACACATATATCTCAAAGTGGAAGTAGTGGCTCCAAATAGAAGTGATATGAATATTTCTTTAACCCTACTAATTTATTCCTTTTTCTTTAAAAAAAATAAAAAGAACACAACAATCAGGCTCACCCATCAAATTTAGGTTTGAAAGCGGTGACAGATTGAGTGAAGTATGATTCTCAATTCTCACAGTGTGCTATGAATTTATAAAACATAATTTTTTTAGGACAACCCCAATAGGGGATCTTCACCAAGTTTTAGAATAATAAAATCCCTTGGATGAGTTTTTTACAAATGGAAGAGGAAGATTTTGCAAAACTTTTACTCTTGTAAAAAAAGTTTTCTGTCAGTTAAAAAAGGAAATAGCAGGTGAGAAGTGGGGCCTGCAAAACAAAGTTTGTGTGAATTATACTAAAACAGTGGGGCCAGGTGAGAATAACAAGGAGGGTTAAGACGAAAAAAAAAGGATCAAAATATGAAGATAAAATAGTGGGTTCATAAAAAAATTAAAATTAATGGGAAGAAGAGTTTTTGTGATTGAGTTAGATACTGGATAATGAGGCCGATGTTAGGACTCATAAAAATCTGGAATAAAATCTCCAACTATTGAGGGTGCTCTTAGTGTGATACCCTTGAAAATACACTCTTTTTTTTTTGAATGTCTTGAAAATACACTTAATATTTTTAAATTACAACATCTCGATGAGGGGCATTTGAGTAATTTTCACTTAGCAATGGTCTATTTCTTCCTTCCTTACTATATCATCACCCTGCTCCACACAACCTGCAATTATTCCTGAAAATCATCAGTACATGCATATATTATTCTCTTCAAATTGGACAAATCCCTCACTCCAATCTTCTTAGCATTCATAACGATTGTTTGAAGAAAATGGCGAGCATCCATGAACTGGAACCGTCACGCAGTAACGATGAGTACTGCGAAACTGATGAAGAAGAAGAAGAAGAAGATAATGAAGACGAAGAAGACGACAAGTTTCACGGCTGCAGTAGGAGCGTATTCGGCGGCGGCGGCGCTCGCCGCCGTGGCGGATTATTGTGCGGCCTGTTTGGGAAGGTTTTGGACCCGAGGGCGACGTGGGTTCAAGAATGGAACCGGGTTTTCCTGCTAGTATGCGCCGCCGGGCTGTTCGTGGACCCTCTGTTCTTCTACGCCCTCTCCATAAGCGACAACTGCATGTGCCTCTTCGTCGACGGCTGGTTCGCCACCACCGCCACCGTCCTCCGCTGCATGACCGACGCCTTGCACCTCTGCAACATGTGGGTGCAGTTCAAGACGGACACGCGGCGGCGGACGCAGGCTTTCGCCGCCGCCGGCGACGACGACGATGCCAGACGGCAACACGACAACCTCGTCACCCGCCGCGCCGCCGCGTCTCGATATCTTAAAGCTAAAAAGGGTTTCCTCTTTGAACTCTTCGTCATCCTTCCTTTACCCCAGGTGCGTCATTATAATAAACATAAACATAAACATAAACATACATTATATTGCTAAAACCAATGTTTAATTTAATTGCCGTTAAAATATCCAATTGACTTCACCCACCATCAGGAGTATGCACGGAGTAAATTCAGACTTGTGATCCTAATTGACAAAAAATATATATAAAAGACAATAATGATTTCTCTTTGGGTTAGCTTCTGTGCCTCCCTGAGCGAATGATGATTAGTTGGGTAGATCTGTTAAATGGACAGAGAGAGACTCGGACCACCTCGGAATTTACACAAACAAAAAAAAATCAACTCAAATCAAAAAGGTCTAATAAGTGTGTTTTGATTGAGAATTGAACTTGAAATCTTGTGATTATTAAGTTAGATGTCTGACCAATTTGCCTGAAATTGTACATATTTTTGCCATCTTAATAGGATCATGTTTTATATCAAAAAATCGAATATCAGTACTGCAGTATGAAAAAATCAGGTAAATATATTGACAAGTTTTATGCATGCACTCATGCAGTAGTGTTGCAGTGACATGTGATGCTGCAGTGTCTGCTAGTACGATAATTAGGAAAAAGTCGAAAAAAAGGGAATATTTCGTTGGGAATCCTATAAAAGTTTAATTTTTTTAAGGAATAAAAATATAAAATAATATATATATTTTTTAATATATTACGGAGTATATATTATTTATTTAGTTTTAATTTGCATGGTTATTCGATCTGGTGGCCGCAGATAGTATTATGGGTGACGACTCCGGCGTTACTGGAGAAGGGGTCGACGGCGACGGTGATGACGGTGTTCTTGATCGTCTTCCTCTTCCAATACCTTCCGAAGATCTATCATTCCGTCGGCCACTTACGCCGGATGCAGAACTTCTCCGGCGGCTACATATTCGGCACCGTTTGGTGGGGAATCGCTCTCAACATGATCGCATATTTCGTAGCCTCTCATGTAAGGACACCGCCCCTCTCCTCTTTTTTTTTTTTTTTAAGGTATTGTTCGGAGGGCAAAATATTCGGGTAGTAGGCACAAAAATGAGAAAAAATGTGAAATAGAATTGAGTTTTATTACACCTAGCCCGCAGGAGCTTAACTCAATAGTTCAGTATTTGAGAGAAGAGATCAAATTTTGAGAGAATTATGTTTAAAGTTGACAGATCCCAAATGTTCTGTCGAGCGGGGATTTATTAGTCTTATAATTAAAAATAATATACTATTAAAGTATTTACATTATATATGTAAAAGAAGAAAAAAATAAAAATTAATATAGGGGTGAGCAAAAAAAGTTAAAAACCCAACACACCGCTTAACTGATGGTTGATAATTGAACTTATTGAATTTTTTTTTTTTGTTTTCTAATTTCTGGTCAGTTACAAGTTATTAAGTAAAACTTTGTTTGATTATTTAAATATTTTTTTTTTCTTTTGTTGGTTAGGGCTAGATTGATGGTGGGGATTGGGGAAATTGGAATATTTTTTTATCAGCAACCAACAACGTTAATTGTGAAAGGAACATGACTAGAGTTGTGTTTCACGATGATTTCTTTAGCACTAAAAAAAAAAAAAAAAAAAAAAAAAAGGAATATTGATCGGATTGAACTTATAAAGTCCTTAAAGCCAAAATGGTCACTTACAAAAATTTTACTTTATATAAAACACTTCTAGTTAATTTTAATTTCTATCTCAAAATAGGACTACAATAAGTACACTAAACAATTTTTTTTTTTTCCATAAAATATAATCAGACAAAAAGAAACATGAAATCATCAAAAGAATGGAAGGAAAGGACTAAAAGGTGATTAATTTAAAGTGTGCAAAGTATTAGCATATATAATGGACTTATGTAACTCAAAGCGGGAAAAATGTCAATTTTCGTCGACTTTTTCCGTCGGTCATAAATTGACAGATGAAAATAATTTTTGGTGAGTATTTAAAAAATAAAAATAAAAACAAACAAAATCGGTCTACCTTATACTATTTGATGATAATTAAAGTGACTTTAACACTAAATTATCACCCCCAATTTATAATTTGATTAATATAATATTTCAGTTATTTTTTAGTGTATTTTGTGGATGATGAGAGCTACTTATTGACCTTCATGATTTGAGTTGATCCAGTTATGAATGTCTTAGGGATTATTTCATTGTGGTCATCATCTAATTTGTTGGTTAGAGTCAAAAGATGAATTTCACCTATCCAAAGTGCACATTAGTTGGATAGGGATTGCAGTCTTTTCTTTCATAAATCAAAGTTTTTTTTTTTTTTTTTTTTTTGTCAAGCCATAAGGTATTCTGAGCAGGTCCTAACCGTAGGAGTTATCCGTACCAGACTAATCCTCATTCGTGTCAGCCCCCGGCCCAGCCCAATTTAGAGGCAAAGTATTGGTCAGATTGGATTCTTTTATACCAGAGGGGGTACAGTTCAAATTCCCGACCTCTCTTTAAGGAAAGAGAATGCACGGCAACTCGCGCCAACTAAGCTGGTTTTTCAAAGTTTGATATGTTGTGTTTGGATAAATTAATTAAATTAAGAAAATGATTGCATGCAGGCTGTAGGGGCATGTTGGTATTTGCTAGGGATACAAAGGGCTGTTAAGTGCTTGAAAGAGCAATGCGGAGCGAGTAAGGGTTGCAGCCCGGGATTGCTGGCTTGTGAAGACCAAATTTATTTTGGAACCACCACGCTGGCCGCCGACCGTCCAGCACGGTGGCTGTGGGCGGAGAACCACCAGGCAAGGACAACTTGCCTGGCCGACGACGATAAATTCGCTTATGGAGCTTATCAATGGACGGTTCAACTCGTCACAAACGAGAACCGTTTGGAGAAGATTCTCCTTCCCATCTTCTGGGGTCTCATGACTCTCAGGTAATAATTAAACTAAGGGTTTCTTTGGAAAGAAAGAAAATGACTTTTAGAAAATATTTTCTGAAAAATGTGTTATTTTTCAGAAAATATTTTCATTTCCAGTGTTTGATTGCATTTTGAAAAATTTGGTGTGTATAGTTTATTTTTTGACAAAAAATGAGTAGAATTATATGTTTAATTATTTTGGCGGAAGTCATTTTCCGTCAAAATAGCTTTATTTTTGTTGACTGGATGTTCATACTGCATCCAAATACTGAAAACTCAAAAAATTTTCCGGATTTCCGGACCCTAATTCAAGCTTTTGCTTTTCAAAACGTGAAAACCTCAGCTCGTACGATGAATCTGATAACGTTGTCGTGGCGAATGCAGTACTTTTGGTAACTTGGAGAGCACGACAGATTGGCTAGAACTGGTTTTCATCATCGTCGTTCTCACCAGCGGGCTTCTTCTGGTCACCATGTTGATCGGAAACATCAAGGTAATTAATGGGACCGGCCGGCCGGCCGTCTTTGAGAATAATTTGTACGAGAAATGAAGTAGTGGGATATGTACGAGGTTGCAGGTGTTTCTGAATGCGACGACGTCGAAGAAACAAGTGATGCATTTGAAGATGCGGAACATGGAGTGGTGGATGAGGAGGCGGCGGTTGAAGCCGGAGCTCCGGCAGAGAGTGAGGAACTACGAGCGGACGCGCTGGGCGGCGATGCGCGGCGTCGATGAGTGCCAAATTATCCGAAATCTGCCGGAAGGCCTCCGGAGAGACATCAAATATCATCTCTGCTTGGACTTGGTTAGACAGGTAGGTATACCATATATATAATTATAACCTAAAAATTATAAAGTCCTTTAATTTAGTGATCGAGTGAATTAATATTATTTCTGCAGGTACCGTTGTTTCAGCATATGGATAGTTTGGTCCTCGAGAACATATGTGATCGTGTGAAATCTCTTATATTTACAAAAGGAGAAACGGTAATTATAAGTTAAATTGTCAATAATTTTGTGGTCTAGTGCTAGCTTTCTTAAATAGAAGGTCATGAATTTGGTCTTACGGGAGGTAGTACAAATACAAAATAAAATAATAATCATATAGTGTGCTTGGTTTGAAAAGTGAGAAAAAAAAAACACTTAAAATTGAGAAACAAATGGGGTAAAAAAAAAATGATAAGTTAAGACTAAAAGCAATAGTTCTCCGACTATATTAATTTTTTAAAATTAGTCATTGATTTTTAATTTGAACACTTTACGTTTCTTGACTTTCAATTTTTTCTAATTGAGATTCTTTCGTCAAATTACGATACGATAAATTGGACTTTAAATGAAAGGGTAAAGTAGTCATTTCATCTGCCTAATGTATAATCTCTTATATGCCCAACTTCGGATTCACTTAATTGCTTAATCCTTAAATCCACTCAAAAAAACAAAATTCCATTAGGGATTAAGCAATTAAGTGATGTCTCAAGTTGCGTATACAAGAAAAAATAAGGAGAATTATACATTAGGCAGATGAAAATGAGTACTATACCCTTCAATTTACCGTAAACTGACGAAAGGACCTGAATTGAAAAGAAATTGAAAGTAATGGACATAAAATATCCAATTAAAAATCAGAGACTAATTTTGAAAAATCAATATAGTCAGAAGACCGTTGCTGGAATTAACTCGTGAAAATATTATAAGAGTTGGAGATTAAATTAAGGTGCAAACAATTCTATGATTTTCTCAGATAACCAGAGAGGGAGATCCGGTGAAGAGAATGTTGTTTATAGTTCGAGGCCATCTCCAGAGCAGCCAACAACTCCGGGACGGCGTGAAGAGTTGCTGCATGTTAGGTCCGGGGAACTTCAGCGGCGACGAGCTTCTCTCCTGGTGTCTCCGCCGCCCCTTCATCGAGCGCCTCCCGCCCTCTTCCTTCACGCTCACAACCCTCGAAACCACCGAGGCTTTCGGCCTCGACGCCGAGGACGTCAAGTACGTCACGCAGCACTTCCGCTACACCTTCGTGAAGGAGAAGGTGAAGAGGAGCGCGCGGTATTACTCGCCGGGATGGAGAACCTGGGCCGCCGTCGCCATTCAGCTCGCCTGGCGCCGCTATAAGCACCGCCTCACGCTCTGCTCGCTGCCGTTTATAATGCCGAGGAGGCCGCCCACGCGGTGTTCGTCGATCGAAGAAGATCGCCTCAGACTTTATACGGCTATCTTGACTTCCTCCAAGCCTAATCAAGACGAGTTTGATTTCTAAGCGTTAGGTAGTTGTTCATCCCAAATTATATTAATATATCAAACTTTAAGGTTTATTTATTTATTTTTTCATAATTATAAAATTAAAATTTACAAAAATCTCAATATTATATTGTCACTCTAATGCAATTCATCAGAACCCGAGGTCCATTATTTTATTAGATAAGTCTTGGTCTAAGGAGAAAAGAAGGAAGCATTGAGCAAAATATTAAAGAAAGTACATGTAGCCAAGAAGATTTGAAAATGTGACCTATGGGCCGGGTTAACAAGGTAGGAATCTCCACTTATGCATGAGAAGTCTGTTGGAAGCAAAGGCAAAGTAGTAAAGAACACGTGTGTGACCAAGAATGAAGGGTACCCGATGTCGTACATTTGTCAACCATTCTTCAACAATATAAATAGGGTGCTTTCTCTCTCTTTAAAAATTATCCCTTAGTTCACAACCTCCTTCTTGGTCTAATGGTTTGTGACCCTAACCTCTAATCCATACACAAAGATTTGATTCTTAGTGCATGTTAGCATTATTATTTGCCAATATCTCCGGCCTTATACCTGGTAAACTACACTTATGTATAATAGAATAATAGCCCTCAAATTTCCTTCCTATTCATGATAGTTGGTAAACAGTACCATAGTTTGATCCGTAAATCACATATAAGAGATAAATTGTAATAGGACATGACAAGTTTAACCAAAAGGGTAGGGCGTTAACAAGAATAATGATGACATAACAGCAAGAAGATTGAACATATATGTATATGTGAGAAATTTAATTTTACAACGAGTGACGGTTGAAAAGAATAGTATGTATATTTACTTAGGTATTCAAGCTACTATTTGGAGAGGCGGCGGAGACGGGTGAGGTTCGTCGTCGGTGTCGGTGTCGTCGGAAGCGGTTGAGCCCTTGAACAGCAAAATGGCGAGGCTGCCGACGTGAAAATAGATGAAACAGCCGGAGCAGTGCGTCACAAATGAAGCGAAATCCGTCCCAACAATGCATTGCCAATTGCCTCCATATACCCTATCAAATTCCTGCATCAAAGCCACCCAAACCAATCAAGCTTTCATATATATATATATATATATATATATATATATATGGTGGTGTTCGGTAAATAGCTTGTAGCCTGTTAGTAGGTTTGATTAGTTAATAGCATTAGCTGATTGTAGGAAAGTGTTTGTAAATTAACTGTTAGCATGCAAAATAACTTTCTAAAAAAATTGATGGAAAAAAGTTAATTTGAACAATTTTTTTAATTTTAACATTTTGAAACAATATATTGTTACAAAAAACTCGTTTAACCAAGTCAAACATTTAATAATCGTCAAATAAGTTAAAATTGGGCAATATATACATAGTATGTGTATGATATATGAAGAAGAAAACAAGAAAGGTGTTACCTTTTTAATGAAACGGGCCATCTCAGTGGAGTCTGTGACGTCGAAGAAGTCGAGGGCTTTTGCTGCTAAGTCAAGTGCATCTTGCTGCATGGTTTGCAGCATATCTGTTTCGCCTATCACTGCTTTGCCTTCTAGCATGGCGGCTATAACTAACCCACTTTTTTCTGTGTAATATCTATCAATTAAAGATCAGATAGAGCTGCATGTCTCTAGCTTTTTGCTGCCCAGATTGTTGGGGGGATTTATGTTGTATGTATAGTTGTGGCTGAGGTGGTTGGTCCAAGATGGTCGAGCCACAAAAACTAGGATACGCCATCTGTGGTGGTCATGGATTTTCAAACCGGATGCGGTATATACTATATAGAATTTCTTTTTTTTTTTTTCTTTCTTTTTGATAGATAGAATTTCCTTCTAGTTGGCAATTGAAATGAATATACAAATTCACGAAAATTTCCTTCTAGTTGGCACCCCTAAAATTCTATTCGAGACGTGTCTCAGCGGATCTGATCTCAAGTTTTTAGAAATGTCTATATATTCAAATTGATTGTCATTTGAACCTATTATTTCATTTTATTACGTTTTAGCCCATTAAACATGTTATATCAGACAAAATTTTCTGTTAAAACTTAGCTATCCAGTCATGTATTAATTGACCCAATTGATATGATGTACCATAGTGTAACATAATGTTGATACTTGTAACATATTCGGACCGTGGCTACAGACTTTTCTGTAAATCAAATATAATAGGTTATAGAGTATATAATATATAGAAATTTATGTAAGCATTTTGAGCGTCATTTTCTCCCCGCCACCCCGGCTTCCGAATATGTCGTTTCTCTCTTTGAAGCTTCTTTTTCTTTGCATCACCGGGTGGAGAAGACGCGCGCCATAACTATGGCGCCAAGTCTCTTCTGCTGCTGCGGCAAACGCTCCTCTTCCGCGGTGAACGACGACAAGGGTTGCGGGGACGATAACGCCGCCGCGGAAGAGGAGGGGGAGGCGGCGAGGGATGGGCCAGTGGTGGTGGAGCTCTTCTCGTCGCAGGGCTGCGCCACCTCACCGGAGGCGGAGCTGCTCTTCTCGCGGCTAGGGCGGGGGGATTTCGACCTGGAGGAGGTGCCGCCGCTCGTCTTGCTGGCTTTCCATGTCGACTATTGGGATTATACGGGGTGGAAGGACCCTTTTGGTTGCAGCCAATGGACCGTCCGGCAGAAAACCTACGTTGAATCCCTCCAACTTGATACCATGTTCACGCCATTAATGGTGGTTCAGAGCCAGGATCAATGTGTTGGTAATGACCAGGATGCTGTCTTGACCTCCATCAAGTCTGCCCCTAGGTTCCCACCTCTATCCTTTCAGGTCAGTAATCATCCTTTGAGTTTGTCTCAGGATTACAAATAGAGTTAATTACACTAATGGTCATCGACTATAATGATTTTCCACAATTAGTCTCTCGACTTTTAATTTGGATAATTTAGGTCATTGATTTTCAAATTTTTTCAAATGTTGGTCTTTCCGTCAAATAAAAGTTAAGTGGACGTTAAATGAAGGGGTATAGTAGTAGTCTTTTTCACCTGCTTAGTGTATAATTACTCGTATTTTCCCCTTGTATATGCGATATATACAAAGATAATCTCAGTCGAAGCCCGAGAATATTCCTCGTCCTTCCCCATTGTCTACGTGAAAACTCAGTCCTAGTATTTCCGGTGCAAGCAGCTCTTCACAGGCGACAACGCGAAGCAATGGACCTTTTCGACAGTGACGACAATGGGAAACAACAAGGAATATTTTAGGGCTTCGACTGAAATTAACTTCGTATATATCGCGTATACAAGAGAGAAATATGAGTAATTACACACTAAGTAGGTGAAATGACTACTCTACCCCTCATTTAACGCCCACTTAACTTTACTCTTGTCCAAATTAAAAGTCATGAACTAATTGTGAAAAATCAATATAGTCAGAAACCTAGAATTAACTCATTAGAAACATGAGTTCGTCACATACCAGGAGTTCTTTACTTTCTGTCATTATTATTGTTTCTTATTCTTGTTAATCTCAACATTGCATTTGCATTTGCATTATTAGTAATTCGTTTTGGGTGCTAGGTTTCTTGATGTTTTTGCAACATGTTATCAATCATCATGTGAACATTGAACCAACAGGCAACGTTCGAAAAGCCAACACCAGACACATTGGAAGTGTCCCTGACAGGAACTCTAAGGAACAAGGTGGACAGCAATGGAGTCGACATCAAGGTGGTTCTATTCGAGAGCGGTTTGGTGACACGGTGCGAGGAGGGAGAGAACAAAGGCAAAGTTCTGGCAAATGACTATGTGGTCAGGAGGCTTGAGAAGCTCTGTGAAGTCAAAGATATCTCTGGGAAGAAGACACTCTCAGGAACAGTCGAATTCTCACTCTGGGAAAACTTCAACAGTGGCAAATGTGGCATGGCTGTGTTCATGGAAAATGGGTGTCATCATATTTTGGGTTCACAGAAATTCGAATTGCCAGATAATCTGTAAATATTCATTTCTGGGAATCGAAAAACCTTAAGAGGATGATGAATTTGCAGACACTATGAATGAGCACAAGGGATACATGAGCAAGAAAGAGACCAATTAGAACATTTCAATCCACAAAAAATAACACTCACATACATTATTCTTCTTTACAGAGCACAACACTGCCCATCCTCCACTCGAGACTTCAAAAGGGGCGAACCGGGTATAAACGGGGGTAGGATTTTGTACGGTATTTCCTTTTCAATCAAAGAGGCACTTACATTGGAAAAAAATATATATTAGCCCTCTAGGACGAATCCACCGCCTCAACTTGTTGCTTAGCGAGATACTTTTCCCTCCGCTCCTTCTGCAAAAAACGAGAGCAAAGGTGGGGTTGGTTTCATTTTGGGAATCGAGTTAGGATTTCTAAAGATGTTATAGTTGTGCAGCATACTTACCCATTCATCGATTACAAGACCTTCACCCACGACTTTCGGGCCTGTATCAACCGGAGGCTTCTTGCGAGCTTCTACTGCAGCATCAGCTTCGGCCAATTGACGCTTTAGTTTCTCCATTGCCTCGAGAAATCAAGACTCTTTTAGTATTGATGTTCTAAACGAAGGGTATAGAAAGAAAGTGGTGCATTCTTACTGGAGAAGTATGCTCAGCATCCAGGAACACCACACGCAAGATTCTCTCTACCGTTGCTTGATCCTTTTGCTCATCAAACTACATCAAAATAAGCAAATACTCGTTAACATTCGGAGCTTTAGGTTACAGGAAAAAATGTTATGAATCAAAGAGAAAGCTGATTTTGTCACGCAATTACAAGTTATAACCCCAAAAAAAATTTGGGCGCACTACCCCCTAACAACCGAGGTTTCTTAATAAATAAGTGTTAGCACAATGTGACAAGTAGCATAGACTTCACATAATCAAGGTGCTTAAAATGATCAAAAACAGCTTAATCGGAAAACTCACCATCTCAGGTACATAATCGCTTCCTTCTTTCACCTTCAAGCTCATTATCTTAAACTTCACCTTGCTCTTTTGATCCATGGACTTTTCGTTGTTTTCCGGCTGCTCCACAAATTTGAAGACTGCCAAGCAGATAGAAACAAACGAAAAAAACATAGGCCGCTATCACTAAAAGTCCTCCATATATACCCAAACTACAATGCACATTTACAATCGAAAAAAACAGATTGCGAATTAAGTCATTACCCGTAGCAATGATGCTTTCACCGGGCTCAAGAATCCCACCTGGAGGCCGCATGTAACAGCTCTTTGGCGCAGTCGTTTGAAACTTAAAACGCAAAGCAAACCAAATATACACAAGTTTATTTACTGTACAGCAATCATAATCATATATCAATGCCATTTTCTGTTCAAAGTTGATTGTATCCCAATGTATATATAGTCCAAGATTCCAACATTTAACTCATAATTTGAAGAAAATGAAATCAAGAAACATTTTTTTAGAAGAAAAATACTGCACCCATCACCAGCCAAATGCCAAAGAAGCTAACTTTTAGGCTAAAATAGGAAAAGAGATCTACACTTTTCTTATTAAACCAAATAGCTAAGAGAGATAGGCTTCCAGAAATAGAAACGATTGAACAATAAATAGCAAACATCATGCTACCTTAAATGCGACATGCGATTTGCTAGTATTCTTAATCCTAACCGCACTCCTCACCTGCTTCCCTGGTTCATCTACAATGTCCACAGCAATTAAAATTCAAACATTAATCAAAAATTTTAAGCGGCCGGAAAACGAAGAATCGTAAAAGAAGAGATTACGCACAAGGGAAATAGAGATTATTGGACGGATCGAGGCGGAGGCGGCGGCGAGCCGGAAGGAACGATCTGGCGACGGAAGAGACGGAGGCGGTGGAGCGGGAGGCGGCGGATCCCGCGACGCCGTTCTGGTGGATGCTGGTGGCAGCTCCGGATTGCCAGAACGGAAAGAGCTTCCACATCTTCCCGTCGGACCTGTGGCGGTCGGCGACAGCCATCGTTTCGCCGGAATCTGACCAAACTCCCTCCGAACAACAATTTCTTTACCTCTCTGTTTTTCTTCTTCTCCAGAGGATTTCAATTTTCAGCAGGCCATGAAAATCACGGAATTCAGATTGGCTGAGAGCAGTGGTTGACTTGAAATCCAAATCCGATGTTTACTTACGTAAGATATCAAAGTCTACGAGAAGTAAAAAAAAAAACAAAAGAAAAAATCGTCGTATTCACTGTCGGGGAGTATGGTGGTTTCAGTTGATTGAAGAGGAAAGTTGCATTGTCTCTCGGACTTCAAACGATTCTCTACGGTGGATTTGACCCCGCTTTGACGTCCGCTCGCCCTTTCAATTTATTTTCTTCCCCTTTATTTTATTTTTTTTTTCATGGATTCTTAATTATCAACAAATTGAAAAAAGAAGAAGAATAAACATATTCTCTTACAGTTGTTCTTCCACATTAATTTTCTTATACAGAGTACTAGATTTTGTTATGACAATCTTATCCCAGATGTTATGACAATCTTAGCCACTATTAGATGATGTGTATGGAATAAAATTCTTCTTTATCCCCGTGCAAATTTAGCTTTACTAAAGCAGTAATTTTAGGAGACTATCCACTGGCCCCATGCTTAAAGGACGAGGTACTGAACCAGAACGCTAATCATATTGGTTATTTATAGTATACTTTGTTAAAGTAAATTACAGGTCGGGATAAATTTTAAACAAATTTAGATAATTATTTTTAAATAGTAGAGTAATATTTTACCATCTAATTATATATACTACTTTTAATAAATCATATTTGTGTTTGTGTGTGTGTATAGGGGTATGAGTTAGTTAAACTATACGGAGTATAATAATATTTTTATAAAATAATTAAAGTTAATTATGAAAAGTCAATTTAATATAAATAGTTTATATTAAATGTATAGAATGGTCCAACAAGAAGAATAACAATAAGGCTGACAGCGAACGTTAATTGGCTGATGGCCAACGACACTGCATGTGAAGTCCACGTGTACGTGCTAATTTGTCCTTCAATTTATATATTTGGAATAGGAGCAAAATTTAGCAAATGCACAATCTCGATAGTAATTGTAAATTTTTTGTCACCTAAAAAATGTTATTATATGTCTCATATTTAAATGGTTAAAACTTATGAGGGAATATTTTATTGTCATTGTGATCATATTCGGTGTTTGACCATAATGGACTTGTTGAACTTAATTAACTCAGAGTACTCCAAATTACTAAATCCGATAAATAAGGAATAAATAATAAAATGAAAAAAGACAATTATATATGTCGCGGAGACAATTTGTGTATTACTAATAGTTTGTAAGAGAATTACAATAATAATGTAATAATTGGACAAGATGCTGGATGTCCTAAACAATACAAAAATGCGTATTTTTATACCAAGCTTCCATCCAACCGCCTTATGATAATAGGGTGGGCGGTTGGATCACCTTTTGACCGGGCTAGAGCTGTCAAAACGGGCTTAGCCTGCCGGCCCGCCCCGCCCCGCCCTTACTTAGGTAGGGGGCGGGTTTTGAAAATAGAGGACCGTTTAGGAGCGGGCTTTGTTGGCCCGCCCCGCTTAGGCCCGCGGGCTACCCGCCATTATTTTATTTTATTTTATATAAAACATTTTTATATAAAATATGCACTTTAAAATTATTTTTATGTGTAATATTTTTGGACTTTGTAGTTGTGACTAGTTTGATGTTTGATAAACTATGAACTTTGAACTTTATGTTTGATTATTATGTTTCATGTGAGTTATGACTTATGTATCAATTTATTTTAATTAGTTTGATGAACAATTTTTTTTAAAAAAAAAAAAGGGTTTTGGGCGGGGGCCCGCCTAGCCCGCGGGCCATTGGCGGGGCGGTCCGGGCTTGTCAAACCTAGGACCGTTTAGGAGCGGGCTTTTTTAGCCCGCCCCGTTTAGACCCGCGGCCCGCCGGACTTTGGCCCGCCCCGCCCCGCCAGCCCGTATTGACAGCACTAGACCGGGCCCACGTGCACACTCGAGGTCTAGGACACCTCCATTGAAACTGCCTTCCGCTGCAAGCCCTCAGGTTGTAGCCACTCTAGCTGAGGTCGACCCCAGCCGAGGCCGAGGTCCACCTTAGTCGGGGCCGACCTCGACCTTAGCCGAGGTCGACCTTAGCTGGGGTCGACATGCCACTCCATCTCCTTTCTGGGTCGATTTGTCCCGATCGCATTTCTAATATCTTCATCAGGACTAATTGACAAAAATTTACAATTAGATAAAAAATATAATTTAAAAAAAAAATTGTCAAACACGACTATTAGTAAAAATATGATTAGAAATTTAAACTTTAAAAGGTTTTAATTAAACACTTATAATTAATAAAATTGTTGTTCATCTAAAATCTTTTTTACTAGTAACAAACAAGTTACCAGTAAAATGTATAATAACGTGACATACTTTTTGTTTATATATGATATGTTTGTTGCCGATTGCCATGTGTTTATTTATATTAAAAAAAAAAAAAAGAAGTGCCGATTAAACTCCTAACTATTAAAATAGTCATAGCCGCCTAATAACTAAACGATGAAACATAATAATTAAAAATTTATCAATTTTTATAATTCATAACAAAAAAATCAGTAAATTTAATTATTAATTTTCCGTTACGCGGATAATCATTTGGAAAAAAATACTCAAGTCAACACAAGTTGTCGTATGATATTGACATTAGTGAGCTTTATCAATTCGGTGGTGTTTAGGTCAATATGTGGGTAAAATTTCATAAAAATTGCCAACATTATACGTCAACATTATAAGAATGTGATTGCCAAAATTTCATGTATGCCGTAATCATTATAAGTTTATAACCAATATTCTATTAACGATGAATAATTAATAACATTATAATATTTCATATGGCCATTTTAACTACTTCGTATTATTTAAAATTAATTTTACTTGTCTCCACAATTTTTGAAATTTTATCATTTTTTTGTGCACATCTTTATATATTTTTTTTCAATTTTATTACCTAACTTCATTTTTATAAATTTTGGTCATTTCGTTGAAATTGACGATAATAAAATAAGAATAATGTAAGAATTCAAATTACATTGTCTAGTAAAAAATAATACAATTAAACTGTGGTCATTGTCTAACTAAACAATGTGTGTGTGTATATATATATGTATATGTAATATGTGTGTGTGTATATGAATAAAATTTTATAGATGAAAAAGGTTAAATAAACCTTTAAATTTTATGGACAAAAACTAATTATTAATTTTATTATTGGAATAATAGTTACTCTCACTATTCACTAATATCATGATATGAGATTACACAGAAGTTCTCATATATTAGATAGTAATAATAATTTTTTTTCACCATCACATATGAATTTATCTCCTCAGATAATTCCGATTCCTCGCCTGAAAACTTCGCCGCAGAGGAAAACACCGAACGGAATAAATTTTCATCGGATGTTGATACACTAATCTGCGTATGATCGCCGGGAATTGAACTAGAATCTAACAGTACTAGGACCGAAGCAGCTAACGTCCATGACTCTGTTGAAATTGCTCTCAGTTTTTCTCATCTTCGCCTCTCGCATCACCTTCCCGGACACCGCCGTCGACGACGGCAGCGCCGACGAGGATCTCCTGGCCTGGTACGACGCCGCCACCTTGCTCTTCGCGTGCTGGTGCAGCGTCCTCATCGGATAATTCCACCGCGCGAAGCCCTGGTCCTTCAGCGCCTCCACCGCGGCCATGCTCGCCGTCACTATCCACATCGCTTTCTTAGCTCCGCCGCTCATTTTCTCTCTCTCTCTCTCTCCGGTGGTTTGAATAGACAGATCTGGTGGTAATTTTTTACTAATTTGAATGTTTGGTGGTTTTTGGATTGGTTTTGGAGTGGGAGATTTATATTGGGAGGGGAATGGAAAACCGGAGGCGGATTTGGGGAAAAGGACACGCGGTTTCGCAATGGTTCGTGACCTTTTCCAGTTGTTACCTGGGTGTTTCACCAAGCAGTTTCTGCCCACGGTTTTGGGGTTTGCTTATGTTGTTTCGTCGCGTCCAATGTACGTGACCGTCGGCGGATCCGTCTCGGAATTCTTGACGACTGTGTGGCTCTAATCTCGCCATCCCCTTAACCAATGGCCTTAGCCATCACTTTCGGGTTGGTTTATGGTTCCATTTGCTCATTTGAATTCAACCATACACAGTACAAAAATTTCTTCAACCAATTGGATGGACGGTTCTTGATTTTTTTTTTTTAAATTGAAATTAACTTTTCAAGTTAAAGTTTGATGACTTATTTAACCATGTTTTCAAAAAATTTATTTTGTAATTATCAATTAATTATTCACAAATTTGTCCAATCTTATTAAAAAAAATTGAATAATAACAAAATTGTAACCATTATCAATGGTTGATTTTACAAATTTGAAAGTTTTTTTAATTTTTTTATTCTTTTGAAATATTCATGATTCTTTATAAATTTGAAGGTTAATAATTTTTATTAAACCAAAGTAGTAGTTGTTGTTTTTTTTTTTTTGAACAACCGAAGCTGTTGGTTTAAATATTCTCTATGAGGTTCAAATATCTTCTAAACCGTGGCTTGTCACTGGGTTTCGCCCGCCGCATAAATCAGCCGCAAAAGGGCGCAAATTATGTCGTGCAACCGTGTGCACCGCGATTGCAAAAACGACGTCGTTTTGATTAAAAACGATGCGTTCGATTTAAAAAACAAAACAATTTTTATTATCGTTAATAGTGTTATATTATGCATAATTTGAGCTATATATCCAGAATAAATGAATTATATATCCAGACTTAATGAACTATATATCCATAATGAATGAACTATATAGTTCAAATTATGCACAACATTATGCCGTTAACGACAATCGAAATTGGTTTTAAAATAAAAAATAAAAAAAATTGAACGTCAAAACGATGTCATTTTTGCAACCGTGTGAACCATGCATGGTGCACATGATTGCGCAGCATAACGCTCCGCAAAAGGGTTAGTAGCATTGATGATATTCTTACACGGCGTTTGGTTGGAGGGAGGGAATTATGTGGGAAAGGAATTGTAATTCCATGGGAGTTGAATTACTGGGAATAAAGTGGGAATTTAAATTCCAGTGTTTGGTTGACAGAAATAGAATTACTGGGAATTTCAATTCCAATGTTTGGTATACATGGGAATTGAACGGGAATAAGTAGTATAAAGTAAAAAATGTCTATTATTGTTGTTAGACATTAATTTTAGGTTAAAAAAAGAAGGGGTAATTTTGACTCATCACTATCTTTTTTTCC